AGCTGACTGCCCAGAAGGTGAGGTTCGACAATGAGCACCCCACCTAGAGTCAGAGGCCCAGGCTGTGTGACGCTGGGCCCATTCCCTAACCTCTCTGGACCCCAGCATCCTCATGGGCTGAGGAGAGATGAGACCCCTGCCCTGCAGGGTTCAAGAGAATCCGGGGAGCAGTGGGACCACCTGTCCCCACTGGAGCACCAGGCACTCACTCAGTCGTTGGTGTTACTCTTTCTCTCACCTGCTACTTTGCCAGAGCCGGGGCAGTCCAGGGAGGAGAGGGTCCTGCCACAGCCCTCAGGTTGCTGCTGGGACAAAAATCAACCAGACAGTGACAGGAAGTGTGAAGAACACTGGGCCTCAAGGGCCCGAGGCAGCCAGGGAAGGCTTCCAGGAAGAAGTGGCAGCGCGCTCTGTTTCCTTGTAAATGACCATCTCTTGGGCACTAGTGGCAGGCACTCGTTTATACCTCACAGCACCCAGTGAGGTAGGTACAGTAAGGACTTTTCCCATTTTACAGATGAGAAACTGAGGTTTTGTCCCACAGATGGTACACTCAGGGCCAGGTGGGGGTTGTGGGGGAGGTTCCAGGACAAACAGCATGGAGGCAGGAAGCAGCTGGGTGTTTTGGGGGGCTCTGGGCACTTTGGCCAGGGACTGGGTGGGAGACTAGGAGAGATGAGAGCAGGAACTGGGGAACGGCAGGCCCTGTAGTCTAGTCTGGGGCCACAGGGAGCCACGGACGGTGCTAGGCAGGGAGGAACCTGGTCAGATGGGTGGTTTAGGAAGACGGATCTTGATTCAAGAGGGAAATAGCTCAGGGGGCAGGGGAGAAGGCGTGAGGGAAAAGGCAGGGGCAGTGCAGACCTGAGAGGCTCTTGCTGGAGCCCAGGGGTCAGTCCTGGCTCTGACAGTGGGGTGAGGAGCTTCTTCCATTCCCAGCTCTGGGAAAAGCTTCTGCTTTTCACCTCTAGGCCAGTGTCGTCTCCCAGCTCCAGATTCACGTGGCCACCTGCCTGGCAGCAGCCCCACCCACAAACAGTGAATGGGCCGTTAGCTCCTACCCCACCTCGAGCTCATCTCCCAGCCCGCTCCACTGCCATCCTCCCCATCTCAGCAAAGGACAGGCACCTCCCTCCCTCCAGGGCTCAGAAACAGACCTGGAGTCATGTAGCTCCTGTCTATGTCATCCCAGCGCCCGGCCCACCATGCAGCTCTGCTGTCTCCTCCCATTCAGGTTTACCCCAAATCCAGCCGATCCCCTCCACAGCCACAGCCCTGGTCTGGGCCACCACCCAGCTGTCCCCTGGACCACAGAAGGGGTCTCTCAGCAGGCAGCCCCAGCCCTCACCCCCCAGCATGGTTCTCATGCAACCAGAAGCACCCTGAAATCCTGCACCGAACCACCATCTTGCTCTGCTCCAGACCCACCAGGAGGATCCAGCTCACTGGCAGTCCTCTCCCACATCACACCTGACCTGGCCCCATGCCCCACCCAGGCCTCATATCCCGATGCCCACTTTCCCCTCTGCCAACTCCGGAGACTCCCCAAACTCACCTGCCTCAGGGCCTGTGCCCTTACTGCTCCTGGCATGTTGTGTCTTCTCTCTCTTCCTCCTCCAGGCCGCAGACACAAGGCATGCCCCCTGTATTCATTCCATTTAGACATCTCCTCTCCGGCCCGGCTCCTCTGGGACCCCGCTTCCCATCAGTCTCCACCCCCTCTCCCAGATGTTCTCCATGGCACCACAGGTTTGCCATGCATTCAGTCATTGTCTCACTGCTCACTGTCTGCCTCCCTCTCTAAATTTTTAGTCGGCGCCCTGAGGCCAGGATCCTGACCTCCTTACGTGCCTAGATGGGGCCTGCTATGAGCAGGGCAGAGCGTGTGCACTCACCGAGTGAGCCAGCGAGTGAGCGGCCACTCCACCCCACCCCTGCGCTGCCCATCCAGGGCATCGAGTCACAGCCGTGGCTCCCCCCAGGCCCCTCAGAAACGAAGGCTCAGAGAGGGCAGCAGACATTTGCAGGGTCACGCGTGCTTCCCGTCCTCCCCTCGTGGGGTCACGGGCAGCAGACATTTGCAGGGTCACGCGTGCTTCCCGTCCTCCCCTCGTGGGGTCACGGGCAGCAGACATTTGCAGGGTCACGCGTGCTTCCCCTCCTCCCCTCGTGGGGTCACGGGCAGCAGACATTTGCAGGGTCACGCGTGCTTCCCGTCCTCCCCTCGTGGGGTCATGGTGTGTCTAGAAACTTCCATGGCCTGCGGAGGAAGGAGACACCTGACCTCACACTGCAGAGGCCGTAGCAGTGGAGACTCCCGTGCATTCTATTCCAGGGACACAGGGCCTGGATGCTTCAGTGGGTCCCTGGGCAAGTAAGGCTCCTAAATGCCCCACTGGAGGTGCCTGCAGTAGCAAGAACAAGAAAGGCAAGGCACACGTCAAAGCCACAAGGCACAGGCTGCCCACACCTGCGGTGTGACCCTGAGCAAGTGACATAACTACTCTGCGTCCCCATGCTCTCATCTGTAAAGCAAGAGCGACAGTTGCTACCTATCTGGTGGGATACCAGGGGATTAAATGAACCAACATCTGAAAGTTCGAAGCATGATGCCTGGCCCACGACAAGACCTCAGAAGGCATTAGTATGAATAATATCGAGCAATAATCATGCAGACTTCATGGCTCTGTGATGACGGCGCCTGGTGCTGACCTCTGTGTTTGTTCTAATTCTCTCAAGACCCCTGAGAATAACTGCCACACAGACGTCAGCACAGGGGCTGGGCCTCCCATGTATTCCTAGCCAACTCTGCTTCCCAGCCAATATGTAAGTTATGGCTTCTCCTCTGTGGTTCAGCATAGGGAGCAGGCCGGGAGACATGCAGGGACTCCACCAAGGTCACATGAAGAGTGCCAGTGGGGCCCGGTCCACCCTCATCCAGAAGGGCCCAGCCCCTGCTCCAACTCTGTGCTCCTGTAACACCTCACCTTCACCTGGCAGAGGAGCCACTGCCATTGTGGCTGTTCCTGACGGTCTACCTTCCCTGTAAAAGCCAGAGCTGTTCATCAAAATGTCCTGCACCTGGGCCTGAGTCACAGCTGGTTCTCAATCAATATTTTTCAGTGGATGAGTAAGTAGGCAGGTTGGTGGGTGGATGGATGGGTGGATGGATGGATGGGTGGGTGGGTGGGTGGATGGATGGATGGATGGATGGATGGATGGATGGATGAATGCATGGATGCATGGATTGACAGATGGATAGGTAGATGGATGTGTTGGTGGATGGATGGATGGATGCATGGATTGACAGATGGATAAGTGGATGGATGGGTTGGTGGATGGATGGATGCATGGATGGATGGATGCATGGATTGACAGATGGATAAGTGGATGGATGGGTTGGTGGATGGATGGATGCATGGATTGACAGATGGATAGGTGGATGGATGTGTTGGTGGATGGATGGATGCATGGATTGACAGATGGATAGGTGGATGGATGTGTTGGTGGATGGATGGATGCATGGATTGACAGATGGATAGGTGGATGGATGTGTTGGTGGATGGATGGTTAAGTGGGTTGGTGGATGGATGGATGGATGGATGGCCATCAAGGCACTCATGCCCTCTAACCCACTTCTAGGAATGGCCTCTAAAGAGGTAGTGAAGGATTTCCAGAGAGACTCACCTACCAATGTAGTCATCACAGTGCCAGAGAAGGGCATATGTCCAAATCATCACAAACATCACTGTAAATAACACAGTTCTCTACACCGAAGAGCACTTCTCCGCAGTGGAATATTATGCAGCTGTTCAATGCCAGTTTTTGAAGAATGACTACATGGCATGGGAAACTGTTGAAATAAAGATCACTGGGAAAATAATGAAGATCAGAAAAACTGCATGTGGAGTAAGATCTCATGTCTATTGGGAGGAAAAGTCTCTTTTTGAATATTTGCTTGGAAAAAGTTCTCAATAAGTATATACTGGAATGCCTAGTTATCTCTAGGTGGGGGGATTCCGAGTAATTTTCCGTATTATCCAAATTGCATTTTAGGGTGCAGACCAGAGGGGTGGTCCTGAGTGGGCCTCTGTGTCTGAACTTCCTTCCCTGGGGAGCAAACAGGAAAACCCCCACCCTCCCCGCCAGAAGGGAGGGGTTCCTAAGGTCAGAAGAGCCAGGGAGGGAGGAAGCGCCCTGGCCTAGCCCTTCCAAACATCAGGACACATAAAACTCCAGGCTCTCACTGCCTGCCGCCGAGAGGTGGGATTTGGGAGCCCCGTCATTGCCAGCTTTGCTGTCTGTCTGTTTTTCTCACCTTCCACATTTTCTGCAATGAACAAGAACAACTTTGCAAGTCAAGGGAAGAAGGAAGGTACAGAGAGCCAGCCAGGGGCTTTGGCTGGCCTGCATCTTTCCAGCCCCAGCCCCCCTCCTGCGTGGGCCTGCTGCAACCTGCACCGGGCTGAGGCAGGAGCCAGGCTTGGAGGCGGCGGACTGCGTGAGGCATGGCTCTCGGCTCTGCCCCTGACCAGCTGAGGACACTGGAGCCTGTCGCTCCAGGACTCGGTTTCCCCATCTGTGAAGTGAGGATAGCCACACCCCTCAGCTCAACGGATGTCTGTGGGAGGAAGGAATGCGAGGCTGGTTGTGGGGCGGGGGGGCGGGGGGCCTGCTTCCGATTCTTCCCGAAGAACACAGAGGAGACGGGGAGTGGGTGGGGGCCTGGGTCTCTGAGGGTGGGCGCCAGGATGCTGAGGCCTCGCAGCTCTTGGGTCCCGTGGGAGCCCGAGCAGAGTCACGCCCGACCTCCGCTCTTGTAATTGGGGGAGCTGCAGAAGCCCCGGAGGGCGGCTGGTTCGGAGACCGAAACAAAGGCGGGATGGGGACCCTGGATCAGAACCGGGTCCACGCGTGAGTCTCTGCAATTAACGCTGTGCTGTCTCAAATTACGAGAAAATATATAAAACATGTCATTGCTTTTGTATTTTGGACACTCATTAGGAGAATAATAAATGTTATTATTTATTAATATGGTAATGAATCATCTCGTTTTTTAAAATTAAACATTAAACCGCTAACAAATTAAATGTAAATGATTAGGCCCAGAGTTGATGGGAAGGGATCCCCGGGGAGGGGCCGCTGGGCTCCTTCTTTGCAGAAATGAGCGCGTGGCCCTTTAACGAGGCGCGGAGGCTGCGAGCCGCGCGGGGTGACTCGAGGACACGCGAGGACGCGGGCGACTCGCGGGGACATCCTGCCCCCTGCCGGCCAGGAGCGGGACCGCAGGGGCCCAGCGGGGAGCGTCCCGCCGCGGAGGTGGCGTTTCCTTGCGATCTTTCCAGAAGCAGTGAAGCCCTCGCTGCACCCGCGCCCCTCGCCTGCCAGGCAGCCACCCACTGGCACACGCCCTGGCTGCACAGCGCTGTCAGGGGTGGGGCGTGTGGCCTGGAGCAAGCCTGCTGGCGTGAGGCTGGGCCTGGGCTCCCGGCTGTGATGCCACCCCCAGTCCCCACGCAGGCGAGAGAAAGCAGCTTCTAGCCTCATCTCACACACGGGAAAGTGAGACTACGAAATGCCTGGCCTGGCCGGGGTGTACAGCCAGTATCCGGTGGGCCTGGGATGCCAGCCCAGCCCCGCAGTCCCCAGTGTGGCCTCCATGGAGCGGGAGTCTGGGCTGTCCCCCCCGAGCCTGAATGAATGGGGTTATCGTTTCCTGAGGGCTGACTCTCGCCAGGCACATGATTTGGCCCAATCAAGTAGGCAGTGCGCCCTGTGCCCATCTTACGCATAAGCAGACTGAGGCACAGAGCAGCTTCAGTGACTTGCCCAGGTCAGAGGCAAGGAAGCAGGAGCGGGAAAGAGACTAGGTCTTGCTGAGTCTAGAGTCAGCTCTCGACCACTCCAGGCCAGGCTGGGCTCTCCCTCCTTCCAGGAGGAGGACAGGCAGCCCCACCTGTGCCCACCCCTGCAGCGCACAAACAGGGCAGCTTCCCGGCCACTGGCTGTTTCTAGGGGTCACCTCAAAGCAGGAAAAGGCATCATTATTCTCGTAAGCGGTACACGGTTCGGGCATGGAGGTGTTACCTGTTACTCTCATCAAGAATGCTACAGCACTCACCCTGGGTTCAAGGTGATTTCCCTGGAAAAGACTTCAAGAAGTCCAACTACTGGAACCAAAGGCTGGGACAGCAGAATCTTGGCATGCATCTTATGAGAATCTTTCTCCTATGTGTGTCCCAACTTGCACTCATTTGGGGAGGGACTGAGAAAAGAGGGCCTCCTCCCCACACAACCAACAGCACCCACGAGATGGCCCAGGCTGGCAGGGTTGGAAAATTCCAGCTCATCTATGATCTACCTCTCTGGTGGGCACTGACCCTGAGCCAGCCACACCTGCCCCCATACGTGTGCGGAGCAGGTCCACAGATGCAGCCTCCGGTGGTCTGGGGCCCTGGCTTTTCTCCTGCCTTCTCTCATGTGTAATCCCACCCTCTGGCGGTGAACACAGCCGCCCCTGTGTCAGCTGTCTGTATTCAGTCAAGACTTCATGAGTACTTCCACTCAGGAGCCCTCGATTCCACCTCCACATTCCCTCTCGATTATGCCTCGCAGCAATGGCCACCGAGCACTCACGATGCCCGCTCCTGGCTCTGACTTCACGTCACTTTCTCAACACATTACAGGTGAAGAGCCTGCCAAGTGGCTGAGCCGTGATTTGGCCCCAGAGCCTAAGTTCTGTCCTCCCCTTGGGTATCTGCTGTCTGCCCAGGCCGGGGCGTGGGACCTCAGACATGCTCAGGAATAATGAATGAATCTGGGGAATCAATCAATGAATGACTGCATGAGGGCCTTTGCCTTTCTCCCCTGCCAGGCTGGGAGCCCACAGAAGAAAAGTGGGGCTGGCCATGTACCTGGAAGGTACTCCTTTCGGGCCTGGGACTTCCCACTTGAGCAATGGGGTAACACAGGGTGTCCCAGCAGGCCCTGCAAGGACATCACAGGAGCATGGAGACCCAGGACCGGCCGTGCCCCCATCCCTGGAGGTGTGCTCCCAGCCTTGTCTAAAGCCTCCCTTGCCCCATGTTTGAGGAGCAGGTTTCTCACCCCGATATGATTCTGTTCTCTGCCCCTGCTGCCCTCCTGCCCCACGCATCCCAGCATGGACAGACAGGACCTTGAGCCTCCTGCCTGGGCCCCTGCCATAAGAAGGAGATGTGTTATTGCTCTCTCTGGGGGCTACTCAGACACCAACTAATTTGTTTCCCTCTTGCCCCCTCCCTTATTGATCAATGCTTTAGCCGAGTGGCTGTTAAATGACTCGTTCCCATGGCAACCATCAGATACACGCTCGGATCTGATGTGTCTGTTTCCTGAGCCAGATCGCCTCCTAAGAGCTTGGAGAGAACAAATCTCCTTTCATATCCGTCACTGTTTTCTGAAAGGCACAGGATATTGTTCAGAACAAGTCATTTTTTTAAGACAATATTAAAAAAAGAACTAGGTTTTTTTCAGCAGATATAAAGTTGTTTCATAAGGTGCATCATTCTTAAGAAGTATGAAATCAGATTGTAAAACCTTTGACCAAGTGAATCTTCTGAGCACTTTTCCTTCTGCATAAGAGGAAGTGCAGAAACGTTCTCTGCATAAAGATACTCCGTTGTATCATTTATAAAAAGAAAAACTGAAAACAGCCTAAAAGCACAACAACAGATGATTCAGAAGAACTACAGTTCACACACCTGTGAGGGTATCATAGAGACGTTTAAATGCTGCTTAGAAGAGAGACACATACGTGTCAACGGTGTGAAGTGCAAAAAACCAAGATTAAACACTGTCTGCACGGGTGAGCATAATGGATGGAAAACAAAGCTAAATTATGTGGAGGAAAAAATACTCAGGGAAAACAAACGCAGTGAAATGTTGACAAGCGTTTCTCACTGGCAGAGCTACGGGTTTTCTTCCTTATTCACTTCCTTAATACATATTTAATGAGCACCTACCATGGGCCTAGCCCTGTCTGAGCCATTAAGAGCACAACTGTTATTTCTACTGCCTATATTTTCCCAAATGTGTTTAAAACTGTGTTTTGAAACTGTGCATTTTTTCTTTGCCTTATTTTTGTTTGTTTGTTTGTTCTGAGACAGGCTCAAGCAATCCTCCCACTTCAGCCTCCCCAGTAGCTGGGACCACAGGCGTGCTCTGCTACGCCACGCTGATTCTTCTTTTTCTTGTAGAGACAGGGTCTCGCCGTGTTGCCAAAACTACTCTCAAACTCTGGGCCTCAAGCAATCCACCCACCTCGGTTTCTGAAAGCTCTGGGATTAGAGGCATGAGCCACCATGCCCAGCCAAGTATAATTGTTTAAAGGCAGAGTACATGTTTCACCTGCCACGTTGCCAACAAGTAAACACCGGTAAGGAGAGGACACAGGAACACCAGCCCTGGCTGGGGGAAGAATGAATGACCACCATGATGAGTGATTGCCAACATTTAAAACTGACACGCTCTTCCCAGCAATTCCACGTAGAGTCATCGTCCCTACAGGGGTTCTCTCCACATTTATCGTGGGATGTTTATGAAGCTTGTTTACTGTGGCATGTGACTGCTGGAACCCTGAATGCCCCTCGCCAAGGGACAGCTACCCAGACCGTGGCTCCAGCTCAGGAAAACAGTGAACTGTAAGAAGAATGAGGTGATTTGCTGGTGTCTGAAACACAAAGGTCAGGTCCCTAAGGGACAGAGCAAGGCAGATCACCTGAGATCAGAGTTCGAGACCAGCCTGGCCAACATGGTGAAACCCCATCTCTAGTAAAAATACAAAAAATTAGCCAGGCCTTATTGCGGGCACCTGTAATCCCAGCTACTCAGGAGGCTGAAGCAGGAGAATCGCTTGAAACCGGGAGGCGGAGGTTGTAGTAAGCCGAGATTGCACCCAAGATCCCTGCTCTTACCCCATCTCGCCTTGGTGATCCTGGGCATGTCCCTTCACCTCTGTGCCTCAGTTTCCTCATTTGCACAGTGAAGACGCCGATGCCAGCCTGGCAGCTTCCTGGACAGATTTTGCGGGACGTGCTGTGTGACAGGCCTTCCACACGGGCCTCGGGCACCTTCTCTTCTTCCTGAGATGGAAACACTAAAAAATTGGTGCATGGTCGCCAGCGATCCCCACACTACAACCTCTGTCCTCTTTTCCTGCAGACCCCTCAGGAATCGTGAAAGGAGGCTCTCTGGACTCAAATGAAGGGCTTTCTCTGGAGGGGCTGCTGGCCTTTCCCTGCAACATGCTCGGCGTAGTTTTTAAAGCTGTCACTTACCCCAGCCTGGCATCCTCTAGCGTTGACATACAGCATCTCCATGCGTCTCAATGAAGAATTTCCTTTTTATTCCCCGGGCTGTCCCCTTCTCCTCCAGTCCCGGATAAGCCTTCGCTCACCTCCGCCCTCACCAGCTTCCACTCAGAGAGACCCAGCCCCTCGAACGCAGCCAGCGGGAAGCACACACAGGCTAACTTTGTTCAGATACTCCAGGTTATTTGAAAACTTCTGAAATCTTTTCCTTAAAAGAATCGAAGTCCCAGGCCGGGCGCGGTGGCTCACACCTCTAATCCCAGCACTTTGGGAGGCCGAGGCGGGTGGATCACGAGGTCAAGATATCGAGATCATCCTGGTCAACATGGTGAAACCCCGTCTCTACTAAAAATACAAAAAATTAGCTGGGCATGGTGGTGCGTGCCTGTAATCCCAGCTACTCAGGAGGCTGAGGCAGGAGAACTGCCTGAACTCAGGAGGCGGAGGTTGCGGTGAGCCGAGATCGCGCCATTGCACTCCAGCCTGGGTAACAAGAGCGAAACTCCGTCTCAAAAAAATAAAAGAATCGAAGTCCCATTGTGAGAGGGAATCCAGGGCTTTCTTAAAAGTACTAACTCAGCAGCTGCAGGAATTTTCCTGACCTGAAGAAAGAGGAAGGAGAAAAAACACAGTCACCCCAGCTTCTAACACGAATCATTGTGGCTGGATTCTAGATTAGAACAAAGGGGACGCAGGTCAGGGAGCGATCCCAGCTTCTGTGCCTGGACTCCACTTTTGATTTTGCAGGACGGTGCACCCAGACCTGGCCACAGCGGGTAGCAATTCAGCCGATTCAGCCAGGGTGAGCTCCAGTGGGGCCGTTGGGGAGAGACCGCAGGCCACTGGCCCTTGGGGGAAGGTGGGAAAGAGGGCTCTTTTTCAATGTTTCTGGTCTGTCCCACGTAACTGAACGCCAGGGACCCAACCTGAACGGGCGGGGAGTGCCAGAGGCAGACCTGACTGTGCACTAGGGGATAATGTCCATCACCACCCGCAGGCATGTGTGCCTCTAGGCCCTGCCCAGAGGACAGTCCCACACGGCTGATCCAAAGCCTGAAAACCCTGCATGACTTTTGACCGAAGCCCCACCGCTCAGAATGGTCACATAAGAAAAGATGAACAGGACAGCTGAGCTACTAGCCTGTTCAGGACCACAGCGTGTTCAGCAGGGCAAGCGGAAAGTGCCGAACCTTCACAAGAGGCCCTGAGCAGAGCACAAGCAAATTTCAGGTCACCTGCACCCTAAAACATGAAGACATACACGGTCGTGGCTAAAACCATGAAAACTCAGTCTCCCCACACTGTCTAGCAGATCATCAGCGCTCTGGACAGTCTATCACTATGCAGACACCTCGGAAGACCGCCAAAAAGACATGTACCTAAATGTGAATGGCGGTCGTCGTTTCCGAGCGACTTCTCTTTTTTAATTTCTCTGCATTTTCTGATGTTTCCCACCATCAGCTAAGGTATCTTTTGTGGATTCTGAGCATGGCCTTGGGCACGTCTCTTCACCCCTCTGAGCTTCAGGCTTCTCACCGGTACAGTGAAGACAGCACCGGCCTCATGGATGTGCTAATATATGCAAAATGCATAGCTTGCTGCCTGGAAGATAATAAGCACCCAAATGCTAGCTGTTTTTATTTTTCACTCAATTTTCTACATATAAACATGTCACTGTGCTCCGTACTGGGGATATGGCGGTCACAGCTAAACTCCAGAAGAGAAAGATTAAACCAACACTCACAAACGATTAATCCACTGCCGAGAGGACCAATGATTTATTCATTACAGTTAGGGACGCTGTGGCGGGGCGGGCGGGGGCGTGTGGAGAGCATTTATCAGGAAACTTTGTTGAGAATTTTGATATTATCTTAAGAGCAATAGAAAGCCTGACATTGAAGGCTTCCAGCAGAGCTGTGAAATCGAAAGTTCATGGCTGAAGAACTCACCATGTCCACACCGTGGACTGAGTGGGGCCCCAGGGAGGCGCCTTCCCAGGAGGCTGCTGTGCAGGTGCAAACCAGGGAAGAACTGCTGCCCCTGCAGACGGGGCAAAATAGACAGACCCCAGCCTCTTCAGGAGGCAGAGGCTGCAAAACCTGGACACAGCGATGCCTCAGAGGGGCATGTGACGGCATGTTGGGGTGACCCCAGGCTTCCAGCCTGAGGAACTGCGCGGATGGTTCCGGAGACAGAGGACTCAGCAGGCCTGGGGCGCTGCGAGCTGTGTTTGTCTGGGGCATGCTTGGTTTGAGGTGCCCTGATGGGGGAGGAAGGTGCCCGGGGTGGGGGGGTCCCGGAAGCAGAGCAGTCTGCGGACTTTTGAACTCGGGATCCGCAAGAGACCAGGGGTTCACCCCCACTGCATCCGGGAGAGACACCGGTTAGGGGATGCAGGACTCCCCAGCGCTGGGAGCGTGAGGCTGATCCAAAGCCCAGACTTTCTCAGAGCCCGGGGGGTGGGCGCAGGTGTTGCGCCTCCGAAGTGGAGGGGCGCAGGGCTGGAGGCCCCAGAGGGTCAGTGGGGACCAGACCCCTCCGCGTTGGTGGCCGCTTTCCTCTAGGGTGGACACGTGGCCGCCTCCTCCAGGCAGTCCTCCAGCCGCCCGGGAGGCCAGCTCAAAAGCCTCCGTGCGTGCGCGGGCCTCCCGCCAGGGGCGCCCTTCCCACCCGCGCTCGCCCTCTCCGCCTCGCCCAGGCTCGCCCCCTCCCCTGCCCCAGCCCTGCATCCCGGGCCCTGTGCTCGGGCAGCCCCCTCCGCGGGTGCTCACTAAACACTGAGGAATAAATGAATCTGTGAGGGAAACAGACCCAGAGAGAGAAGCGCGGGGAGAAGAGAGCCACGATGTTCCCAGCCCTTCTCCCGGTGGGATCATGAGTCACTTTATGTTCCAGCCTCTATGCTTCAACACCTTCCAGATTTTGCTCCGTGAGCTGGCATCTCTGTTGGAGTCAGAAAACATAATCTTTCTATCACTTGTTTCTGAAGATGTGCTAAATACCAACCAAAGACCAGGGTGCTCTGGGGAGGGGACCGAGCGGGCTCTAGCTTTGCAAGGCGCCAGGGGGTGTTTGTGGGGGCCCTGCCTGCTGCTCCCCCCGCGCGGGGCAGTCGTGGGGGTGTTGTGCTTGCCTGCGGGGCTCCCAGGCAGCCTCTTCCAGCCCAGCTTCCCTGGCCCCTAGAAGGAGTAAGTGGGCAATCTCTGGCACTTGCTTAAACCACATACACCCCCAAAAATGTGCGCCCCCTTTACCGGGAAAGTGTTTACAGCTGTGTTATGTGGGAGTATGTCCCAGGCCCAGCATGTGTTGGGTAAAGCTGGGAGCCTGGACTCCACCCCAGCTCTGCCCCTGGAATGTCCAGGGCCATGCCCAAGCCTCCTTTTCTTTGAATGGGACTCACCAGGCACATCTCCAAAGGAGGTGTGAGCATTAAGTGCCCAGAACGTGCCAGGGTGCTGGCACACAGTAAACGCTCAATATGTGCTGGCTACTGTGAGAATGAAGGGAACTAGATGGGGCACTGGACCTCACTCTCCCCAGTTGCCCATGCTCTGGGCCCATGTGGCTTCCTCCTTTGGCCCCACCAGCGTGGATGTGGCTGAGGGTGACGTATGTCCGTGGAAGGCCAGCTGACAGGCTCTGGGACAGCCATGACAAGTTAATGAATTCTCTGCGATTACTCAAGGCACATGTCTGGGCCATGAGGACTTCTGTCTGCTGCACTGACCTTTAAAGGTGCACATTTAATACCCCCAATCACTCATGCCCCGTTGGAACGTTTGGAAGATGAAACCTGTCTGAGCTGAGAGTGATCACTCATTCCTGTCGCCCCCTCACTGTCACTCCTTTCTGAATCATAATAAAACTTTGCAAAACTGTTTGCTTCCCTCACCAGCCTGAGCTGTGAAGATGGTTAGTGGAGGGGCACTTTCTGGCATGGCTGGTGGTGAGGGCCATCCCTGTGTGCTCCTGTACACACCCTAGCCCGCACCAGGCACCACTTGTGGGGAGGGGGGGCTCCAGCTCTGCCCACACACATCACCTTTATTAACCTTCTCATTCAACTTTCCATCTAGCCATTGAAAAAGCATTCATCAAGGGTCACCTCAGCTTAAATGTCTTTGGCCACATGGAACATAAGCTAAAACCGTGAAAACGTGTATTTCATACAACAGGAAGTCCAAAAGCAGAATGGGGTTCGTGTGTGGTTTTGGCAGCTGGGTGTGGTCCTCAAAGACCCTGCTGCCTTCCGTCTCTCTGCTCTGCTTCTCCACCTCTCCACCGCAGCATTGGCTTCAAATGCAAAATGGAACCAAGGCGGCGGCCACCACCCCACTGTAGCTGGCCCCAGCACTTCTCTCAGTGACTCTCTTTGGAAGTAATGAACCCTAAATCTAGTCACTATTATTCTGGCACCTAAGATTGTACGGGCAGCCCCTCTCCAGAGAGTGCCCCAGACACTACACCCAGTGGCACAACCCCGGCCTTCCCATCAATCAGCCAACAGTCAGATTTCCTCTAGCTGCCAGCTTTATTAGTGAGGTTCTTTGCTCTGCAAAGATTTTTCATTTTCTTTCTGATTAGCTCTTGTTTTAATTCTATTCTTAGAGGTCTAGATTTCATTTCTTTATCTTAGTGGTAATGACTCAGTGTTAGGTGTTTCCAAATCAAGCGTAATTGACTTTGTTAATTTTTCTGACTGATATTTCTTGATTTCTCTTTAAAGTTATTTTTAAAAATTGATATTTACAATTAGCCAGTCTGATTTTTTTTTTTTTTTTTTGAGGGGAAGCCTCACTCTCTTGCACCCAGGCTGGAGTGTAGTGGCACAATCTTGCCTCACTGCAACTTCCACCTCCTGGGTTCAAGTGATTCTTCTGCCTCAGCCTCCCAAGTAGCTGGGACTACTGGCATGCACCACCATGCTTGGCTAATTTTTTGTATTTTTAGTAGAGAAAGGGTTTCTCCATGTTGGCCAGGCCGGTCTTGAACTCCTGACCTCAAGTGATCTGCCTATCTGGACTGCCCAAAGTGCTGGGATTACAGGTATGAGCCACCGCACCCAGCCACCAGTCTGATTCTTAACAAAAGTTCATAATAAATTTTTATTTCAAAAATTTAAAACAATTTGTTTTAGAAATTTGAAAACAATGCTTAGGTTTTGTTTTGTTTTCTTTTTGGAGATGGAGTCTTGCTCTGTCACCAGGCTGGAGTGCAGTTGCTCAATCTCGGCTCACTGCAACCTCCACATCCTGGGTTCAAGCGATTCTCTGGCCTCAGCCTCCTGAGTAGCTGGGACTACAGGTGCCCATCACCACACCCAGCTAATTTTTATATTTTTAGTAGAGACGGGGTTTCACCATGTTGCCCAGGATGGTCTTCATCTCTTGACCTCATGATCCTCCTGGCTCGGCCTCCCAAAGTGCTGGGATTCCAGGCATGAGCCACCGTACTCAGCCACGTTATTTAAAAATAGGAATTTAACATACTTGAAGCAAATCAATACATTAATAGGGGACTATCTGCATTTACAGCACCAGGAAATCTATCTTTTAAAAAGATAGATTGTTAAAAATCTATCTATCTTTTCATG